CGGTTTCTCCCGGTTTTCATCCCCGTTTTCTCCCGGTTCCTCCCGGTTTTTTCCATCCCCGTTCCCCTCACCCCCAGCAGGTGCCCCACGGCCACCGAGAGGCCGATGGAGATGGCGGGGGAGCCCACGCGGTCCTCGCGCCGCTCGTCCGTGGACGCCAAAACGCAGAGGACGAGCTGGAAGGTGAGGAAAAGCTCCACCGTCACCGCCTGCCCCGCCGACGTCTCGTTGTTCAGCTGCGGGAAGAAAAAAAAAATGGGAAAAAAAAAAAAAAAAAAAACACAAAAAAAATCGGGAATAACGAGCGAGAAATCCCAGAAATCCCAGAGCGCCACGTGGAGGGGATGGGGGGAAAAATTCCCGGGGAAAATGGGATTTTTTTGGGCGGGGGTTAAGCCCTTCTGAGGGATTTTTTTTTTTTTTTTTTTCTCGCTCTCAGGGGGAATTTTTTAATTGGATTTTTCTCCCCCGCTCTCAGGGAGTTTTGCTGGAATTTTTTAGGGGGTGTTTTTCCCTCCTTTCAGGAATTTTTTGTTGGGTTTTCCTCCCTCTCAGGAAATTTTATTGGCATTTTTTTGGGGGGTATTATTTTCCCCACTCTCAGGAAATTTCTGCCGGATTTTCTCCCCCTCTCTCTCTCTCTCTCTCTCGGGAATTTTTTATTGGATTTTTCTCACTTTCTCGGAGAATTTTATTGCCTTTTTGGGGGGTATTTTCCTCACTCTCGGGAATTTTTTTGGTCGGATTTCCCCCAATCTCAGGAAATTTCTATTGGATTGTCTCCCCCTCTCTCTCTCGGGATTTTTTCTTATTGGATTTTCCTGCTCTCAGGGGATTTTATCGGCGTTTTTCGGGCTATTTTCCCTCCTCTGAGGAAGTTTTTTCTGGGCTGTTGCCACCTCCACGTCCCTCAGCCTTCCCAAAAAAAAAACAAAAACCCTTCCTGCCTTTTCCTGCTCCTTTCCAAGCCCATCCCTGAAACCTCACCCTGCTGGGGGCTCAGACAACCAACGACCCCCTCGTGCTCCCCAGACCCCATCCCCTCTCACCTTGGTGATGACCCCAAACCCCATACCCACTCTCCAAACCCTCCCAACCCCCTTCCCACTCCCCTCTCACCCTATTGATGACTCCAAACCCCCTCCAAACCCCCCCAAACCCCGTCCCCACTCACCCTATTGACAGCCATGCCCCTGCTGGTGTCAGGGG